CCTAACATCGTGCTTAATCCTCCTTTACTAGTCGATTTTATATCTAGACCTCATGTCCTTGTTGTGGTAAATATATACAGGATTTGATGTTTCTCATATTGTATGAGATAAAATTATCTTCTATATACACATATAAAAGTGTATGAGGTTATGTGAAGAGAAGAGAGAGGAAAAGAAAGTATGGTTCCCACACACTTTTTTTATGCATAGGGAATAATTTTATCTTCTACAATATAAAATACATTAAACTCATGTACTAATTAACGTATCTACATTGCTGATATGCCTCCACCATATATAGTTTTCAAAGTTAAAAAGAGCAAGGATTTAAATCACTTGGAAAGAAAAATGCTTAAATTTGTTATAAAGTTGATAAATCATGCTCAATTTTTCTCTCACTGAATTTCTGTGGTTTTTGTAGGAAAAAGTATTAGAAAAGAACGTGTTTTAAGCACAAGAAAAAGCAAAAGGTAGAGTTGCCGCGTTATAAGCGCGAGATCTGCGCTAGTAGCGCGGGAAAATTTTCACAATGCAAAAGTGTCGCGCTACAAGCGCACAAGCGCGGGATCCGCACTAGTAGCACGGGATTTAGCTACCTTTGTTATTTTTACCGCGCTAGCAGCGTGGGATCTGCACTAGTAGCGCGGGAAGCACATGACCAATTTTTAAATAGATTCAATCACAGTTTAAGGAGGATTCTACCTCAAAGATTTGATCAAGATTTGGTTGGATTCTACATTAAACTATAAAAAAAGGGGTTGTAAACCCTGATTCATGATCTTTGGCTAGAGACTTTTGGAGAGATTAAGAAGTTGAGAGAACTCTTGGAGGCATACGCTGGAGATCGGGATTTCAGAGAAATTGAAGATTGAAGACCTCTGATTCTTCTTCTTCTTCTTTTCTTCTTCTTGATGAATACTTTTTAGAGTAAACACCCTTTTTAGTCCCTGGCAATATCTACGAAGTCCTTTTCAGTCCCTGGCAATAAAAAAGGACCAAATTGGTCCCCTGAAAGTACAAGAAAATGGCCACTCTACATATTTGGGAGTTGACATAAGGACTAACATGGCCCCTTTTTTGTAATTTCAGGGACCAATTTGGTCCTTTTTTATTGCCAGGGACTAAAAAGGACTTCGTAGATATTGACAGAGACTAAAAAGGGTGTTTACTCTACTTTTTATTTCTTTATTTTGTTTAAGTCAGATATGTCTGGCTAGATTTCTTTTGTAGTTAAGGTTATGGATCCGATGTGAATCCTTTATGAATTTTGAGTTGTTTTTATAATTATTTTAATTCAATTAGTTTTATTTTACTTTACATTATTTTTATATAGCCTTATGAGATCTGATCAATTTTATAGGGTTTTGAGGCTTAGAGCTCGCTATAGGCATATTGGAATTTTAATCTTGACAAGGGTAAAATAACAATTTGTGCATGATCTAGACATAGGCTTGTATAAATTGCAAACTTTATAATCATCCAACTTAATGCTTAATTCAAAAAGGATCACTAGGACACTAGGGTTCTAATGGGTTAAAGAGTTAAATACACTAAGACATTAGGATTTAACTAACTGATTTAAAGAAGATGAATTGTTTGAACTGTTGTGTTAAGTAATTATAGGATTAATTCAGATTTATATAGGAGGATCAAAGGTGAAGTAAACCTTGACTACAGTTTGTCATTAAAGTTTAATATTCTTTGCGTTCTTGAATATTCTTGAATGTTCTTGATTTTTACTGCAATAAATTTTAATTACTTTTATTTTAATTCAAAATCTTTTTTCAAACCAAATCGAATTGTCCAAATTAAAGTGAATAGTTATGATAGTAGTTGATGCTTTAATCCTCGTGGGACGATACTTTTCTCACTACTTTATTACTTGAAACGATCCGTATACTTGCCGTAATCACAACAATTGCATATCGCTACTAAGAAATAAGGTAGTAGCTTACAGATTCATCCGTGCAAAGATTCTAACAAAAGAACGTGGCAAAGAGTTATTACATTTTTAATAGTAACTTAATTGTTGACTTGGTTTCCAAGCTCTATGATGTTACCTATTAGCATGTCCTGATCTATTACTCTCAATTATTCTCTTCCACACAACTATTAATGATCTCCTAATTACATGAGCATGAGTAGTCAATCAAACACAAATATGAAGATTCAAACCATCACACGAATATCTTATTCGGGAGAGATATGATGCGGACACATTTTTTATTATATAGAGACCTATTAAGGCAAACTATTAGTTAGATTCAAAATTGTGTCTTTATCTCTTTAAAAGAATACTCTTCTGTTATTCGGCAACTGGAGAAAATCTAAATTCAATAGAACTTAAATATATTTATAAATTAAGGGATTTATATATGGACCAACCAACTTGCTTGAGTTTTGAATAACTTCAAATTAATTAATAGAATGATGATAAGCTATAGCATCATAAGATGTGGGTCAACGGTACATGAACCTGATAATGAACTACTTTAGATCTAAGCCAACAAACTAATCCTGATCACACCAAATGAAAGATGGTAGCTAGTACAGTGGTAATAATGTGGAGTGAAACAGAGGCCCTCTCGATACGATGCCACTAGACAACAATAGACAATATTATTAGTTGCCATGAAACATATATAACTATTGACTTATATTAGATACACCAAATGCAATGATTTGATGATTCCGATTTCAGTGAACAACATCTACCGACGACAAAAACCTTTTTCCTTTCACTGTTAGTGGTGTATGTTGTTCTTCTTTTGAATGGTACTACACATCAATGGGTAAATAATATTGCTCACCCACTAGTGGACCTTGTCTTAGTATAGACGATTAAGTCAATGATTTGAGATCTACTTAACCAGTAACTAACATTTTAGTAAACCAATACAGTACCACTCCATGAGAGTCAAATGCTTCAATCTCTTTATTTGAATATTACACAATGGGATAGGATCCTTGACATCGGTGTCAAACTTTGAAATTTGACACCAAATTTTATCAGTTGATTTTTCGCCAATCGATGGTTATCATTTATTGATAATTAATATTAATTAATAAATTTGATTCCCAATAAATGATAACCGTTGATTGGCAGAAATCAACGGATAGGATTTGGTGTCAAATTTTAAAATTTGACACTGATGTCAAAAGATCTTGCTCCTTACACAATATTATCTGATTAATAATTTATCTATTTATTTATATATTATATGATCTAAATTAAAGTTGAATAATATGCTTGATTAATTATCACACAGACAAGAACAAAAAAACTCAAAAGGGATGACTTAACTGACGAACAAGATTAAACTTAGGTGCTGTTTGGTTGGGGGTTTCTTAAAATTTTCCCATCAAATCAAGTTGGCCATTGTTGATTTCCTTGTTTGGTAGAGAGTTTCTTAAAATTTCCCCACCTATTCATATTGCATAGCTATCCAGATTTGGCCGTTGAAATGGAGGAATTGTCACTGTTTAGAAAGCTTTCTTAGAGGTGGTTTTCCTTGGTTAGATGGGTAAATAGCAAAAGGTGAAAGCTAACCCATACCAAAATACCCTCATGTTACCAAATTTTTTCGGTAAATTTTTTTTCAACCAAACAACATTTTTTATAGTTTCCTACCAAATTCACTTTCCAACCATTTCCCTAGTAATTACATTTTTCTAGTATTCAAAAAATTTCTCCTCAACCAAACGCCCCCTTAATCGTTGAGATACATATGTCATATAAGGAATTAGAACACTTATTAAAAAAAAATATAGAGTAAGAAAAAAACAAATACTAGAAGCGCATTATTTCACTATATAACGATATTCCGTAAGGCACATTCTTTGATAATGAAACAAAGGCTTCTTTACAAGCCAAATTAAACCAATGACTTGATTAAATTTCAAAAGTCCTATATATAAGAACATGAAATCATCAACATTGAATTAGCAATAATTGTTTATTATGACATATTATCTGCAGTCTCAAGTCCTGGACGTACCTTTAAGCAGAAGATTAAATCTAACCAAGGAATTAAAAGGAATAAGCGGTATTTATTCAAAGTAGGAACCGTCCTAAAGTGCTTAGGTCATATACTTGTATGCTACATATACCCACCTTACTCCTTAGTCCTTAACCGAATCCTATACTTAATCACATGCCACTTATGTCCTTTTCTTTTCTTGTTGGAATGCTCACTTATAAATAAAATATATATAAAAGAAAAAAATAAAAAGGGGTGGGGGCGTTTGCTTGAAAGTCACCCGAATCTCTTATCACTCCTCCATATGGATTAGTACTTTTCTTTAAAACTGAACTGAATGACGGGATGACATGCTTTTAACGTGCAATCTTTGCTTTAATGGGTTTGTATAAGTTTGGCCTAAATAATCGTCTAACCAAAGACAGTGAAACCGATTCAGAACGTTAACATTTAACAACAACCTTTCTTTCTTCAACACTTTAAGCCCATTTTACCATTTTCCATTTTAACAGTTACACATAAAATCGAATTTAATCTTGGCCACTCCACTCGCTAGTTAAAAAACACACACTAACCGAGACATTCCAACTCATTAAATTTGAACATAAATTGCAAAATACAAAGCATGTTTAATCTTTGATGAATTATACGCATGCAGTACATGCACTCCATGTCAACATAGTGTGCTCGGCACAAACTTTGCGGGAAAAATAAAATAAAATATTCCTTCATAAAAAAAAGTGACAACCTGAGCAGTAAAACAGAAAGAGAGGCCAAAAGTGTGGTCATGATTGAAGCGTAGAGCGAGTGCAGTGAAAGGCGCGTGAAAAAAAAAAAGAAAAAAAAAAGAACTTTTCCTTGTTAGGAACACTTCCAAGGTTGGAAAAGCAAAGAAGATTTTGGGTGGCTGACTATTCTGTAACAAAACCTCTTTGTTGCCCATTCACTCCCAATATATATAAACCATTTCACACACACACACACATACATACACACTCCTCCCTCTCTTTCTTCCTCTCTGTTATTATTCATATTCAGACACTGTTTTATTGAGGATGTTGTCTGAAATGGACATGTCGTGTAATAACGACATCGCAAAGGGGAAGCGCACAAAGCGGCGTCTGAGGCCTTTGTCGCCTTGTGCCGTTGCTGCCATGACTTCTAGCTGCTCAAGTGCTTCCGGTGGCGGCGGCGGCGGCGACTATGGCTCGTTTTCATCCAACACCTTTGAGGAAGAAGAAGACATGGCTAATTGCTTGATTCTCCTTGCCCAAGGAAGAGGAAGAGAAAGAGAAAGAGAAAATCTTCATCATCATAAGCACCAAACTGAAGAAGATAAGACAACAGAGATTGGTACCAAAATTGGTTTCTATATTTATGAGTGCAAAACTTGCAACAGAACATTCCCTTCTTTTCAAGCACTGGGTGGTCACAGGGCAAGTCATAAGAAGCCAAAGTTGACGCCGCCGCCGGAGGAAAAGAAACCACCGCAACCGCCGCCGCTGGTGGTGCAACCAATCACGAGTTGTGAGTTTGAAGAAGCAAAGCCAACCCATGTGAAGATTAGCCCTTTGGTTTCCCTTCAGTTAGGGTGCGGTAATAGTAATAATAATAATAATAATAATAACAGAGGTAATTTCCATGGAAATCACAAGCCCAAGATTCATGAGTGTTCCATTTGTGGTTCTGAATTCACATCTGGACAAGCATTGGGTGGACATATGAGGAGGCACAGAGCATCTGCTCAGACAACTTGTGTGGAAATTAAGCCTCGGAATGTTCTAGATTTGGATCTTAACCTTCCGGCGCCGGAGGATGATCTCCGGGATTCGAAGTTTCAGTTTCCGGCGACCCAAAAATCTTTAGCGCTGTCTGCTGCTCCGGCTTTGGTGGGTTGCCATTATTAGGCCAGCCAGGGTGGGGAATTTGGAATTGGATCAAAGGAGGGACAAAAAAAATTATATTCTTTTGATCAATGATCAATGTGAATTATTAGCTTTATTTTAATTTACAATTATTCGTAATTATCGATTCTTTTGGGATTATTTTTTGGTTTTGGATTTAATTAAGCATTTCACCATTTGGATTATCTACTTGTTGAAGTTTTGGAATACACTTTTTTTAAGTAATTGGTTAGTGTTCATGGTTGCCTTTCATTCACGAAAAGTGCTGGAGTCATATAATAGGGGCATCTTTATTTCTTTTTTCTTTTTATTCTCTTTTTAATTTTAATGTTTTGAGTCATTATCTAGTTCTAGTTTGGCTGTTTCTTCTAAAGGGAGAACGATTGTGTAAGAGCTGGGATAAATAGATAGAGCAGTGACATATGGATCGACATGTCTTAGGGTTTGGTTGCACCACCACCACAACCAAAAGTTACGGAATAGGCTTCCTTTGTGTGGGTTTTTTTTATTATTATTATTATTTTAATAAAGCTCAAAAGTTTTCCTTTTCCTTTCCTTTCAGTCCCTATCTTTCACAGTTCTCACTCACTCTAGCTACCACACTCACTCTGTTTCGTTTATTGTCTAGAATAAAGGATTAGTTTGGAAAATGTGACTGTGCCATTAGCACATACACCCAATTATTTAAAAATGTCACTGGCTATGAATATATCTAACTATTATTTAAAATCCACTAATAAGCTAAGTGTTAATTTATTTCCTGGTTCACCCCCCTCCCCCCTTAATATATAATCCTTTCTTTTAGCTTTTTAAGCTCAACAGTTTCACCTAATTAACCAACTGTTTTGTTCTTACTTTTGCAAGTTAATAAATTAATTAATTAAACCTGGTTAAATTTGATAATTTATTAATACTTTATTTATATGAATAAAATTGAATAAATAACTAGCTTTGAGATTATCTCATGGAAGTTCCAGCCCATACAAAGTTGATGCTCCCAAGAAAGATACTGATGACTCTCAGACCACAAACATTTAATTAGGAGCTATACTATGGTCCACTATTTGGACCCATCAACCATACTCTTTATCTGTCTTTTTAGTTTCTAGTTTTAAGCTTCGGTCTTATTTATGTAGTTCACAGAATGAAGGCGAGAAAGGGACAGTTCCAATGACAACATTTCGATCTTTTTTCTTCTTCTTTTTTCTCTTCATGAAAAATAACAAAATGAGAATTTAGATAACATAAATGGTATTAATTTGTCTTAGCCTAAAACGAGGGCATATATGTCAACATGTATTGTATAGTGAGAGATCAAACTTTGATTAAGCAAGAGAGAGAGAGGAAGAGATGGAAGACTTTTAAGTCACTTACACTGGCCACTTATCTAAAGTTAGTTATGTGCACGTTTTGGGGAATGCTGGGAAGCGAAGCATGTGGACACGTACATTGCGTGAGGTGTCCGAATGCATAAGAAATGGGAGAGAGGTGATTACTCATTGACATTAGCACATGTAGGTTGGGAAGTTCCTTCCATGTCGTGTAACCTCCCATTACATATTCTCCTTCATATTAATTATAATATATTCTTATTATAATTAATCAAAAGGAAACTTGTACCCTAATACTATAAAATTAATAATAATAAATCATTGCTTTCCTTGTTTTGTTAGGTCTATCCTAATTTCTGGTCACTCAACTCTCTGTAATATGAACTTAAACATCTCTTCAATTATATATCTCAGCAATAATGCCATGAACTTCGCCATAATATGAGGACACACCTAGGGGTGTTAACGAGCCGAGTCGAGCCGAACTTTGGTCTTAAAAGGTTAAGTCTGTATTTAAATGTATCAGTCTGACCAAGTCTGTTACCTGTTATGAATATAATTTCAGCCTGTGACCTGTCTTATTTACAAAAAATAAAAGTCTGATTTAGCATGTTAGCCTGTTTAAAAAAAATAAGACAATAAAAATTTATCCAAACAAAATATAAAATCAACAGCACTAGTGATTTCATAAATATTCATAAATTTAATGTATATCCAAAAAGCATAATATAAAACAAAATCATTCAAAAAGTCTATTTAATTAATAAAATGGGATGAAATGGATTGAGGAGAGAGAGATGGCTATCACAAGTAGTATAAAAAATATAAAATAAAAATTAATATATTAGGTCAGCCTGAGAGGCTCTAAGGCTGAGCTTTTGAATTAGAGTCTGAGGCCTTTTTATTAAACGAGCTTTTATACAATTTCAAGTCTGGTTCCAACAATCAATTTTAAACATGTAAGCTCAGGCTTTCATGAGCCGAGCCAAAGGCCCCTGGCTCGTTTAGCACCCCTAGACACGCCCAATATCAATTTGTATCATTTTTCAAAGAAGAACATAAACCGAATTTTTCTGCCCATTATGTGAGATTGAACCCAAACAAGAGCCTTGCTTGTATACTACGTTAGTTTTTGATATTTTCTCTTGTTGGGTAAATTTAAAGTATTACGCTCAATGATTTAAATATAGTAATTCACAATTAATTATTCTACCATGCACGTATCACAATCTGATTTCCACATGAAAGAATTTTCCTATCTTAAAAGTGTTTTGCCGTGCCTTCCAACCTCAACAAGCTGAATGGCTGAGATTGAATTAGCTTTTGGAGCATATTCTGAAGCATGCATTAATGTGTAGTTGTTATTATCCGTTTTGCTTCCACAAGGTGTATTATGGTAGTATTGGTTTACGGTTTGGGGATACAGACAAATGCCTCAAATGCATGAGCTGGTTTATCGTGTGGCTTATTGCCTCTACTTGTAAGCTAGCCCATGACCAAAAAAGTGGGTATTGGCCGGCCTTCACTTACTATTTGTGCTATTAGTGTTGAACGAATTTCTATTCAACAAATGAGCTGTTTCACTTGCTTATTCCTCTATTAATTAAATTATTGACCATTAACAAAGGATTTGGTTCCGGAATATCATAACCAAACCATTCATTCTTACTAATTGGGTTTGGTATCTGGCGACAGAAGAATGAATGTGGATACAATTTTCCATATCTTTTTCATTATTTTAGTGGTAGTTCCTAGTTTGGTGGAATGTGGCTACCTAAGATCTACTTCACTGGTTTGGGTTTGGTTGGCATTTCCAATGCTATATATGGTAGTTACTCATTGAAAATAATTGTGGATCGAGTGCTGAGTAAAATTTAACGTTGCTCACACAAATTGTGGATATAGTGATTAACAAATGGTGTGGTATTGTTTGTGGAGTAGCACTAGTAACGAATTTGGCTATGCCTTTTTGTTAGGGTTCTGCAAAATAACCAAAAAATTGAATCGAACTGAACTGCACTTAAAATAATTGATTTTTAAAAATCAATTCATGAACCGAACTTGTTTTTAAAGAAACAGTTCATGAACCAAACCAATTTTTAGAACCAGTTCAAGAACCGAATCGTTTTTTAACCGAACCGAACCATTTCCGAACCGAACCAAACCAAACTGATTTTTATTTTTTTATTTTTTTTATTTTTAACTTTTTTTTTCTTCAGAATAGGATCGACCCGAACCAGTTCAAATCGAACCGAACCAAATTAATTTTGAACCGAACCGAATCATTTTTTAACCGAATCATTTAAACCAATTCGATTCGATTTTTCAAAAAATTCAATTTGGTTCAACTCGTGCACACCCTATCTTTTGCAAACCATTATCAAGATTAAGTTCAAATTTGTTAGAGGCATAGTGAGCTGTAGCGGCTGGCTGGAATCTTTAGAAATTTAATGTGGCAATAGTCTAACGTTCAAGTTACGCCAAGGATAACTTAATTAACCTTTGAGATTCATACATGTTTTTTTTTTTTTTTTGGTTAAATATGTGGTTGGTTCAGATAGTTACAAATTAGTTGGCCGAGAATTGTCTAAACTGCAACTAATTACGTACCTGATACATTGGTATAAATCCATTTTTACTTATCTAATTAGCTGGTTACAGATAATATGCCACACATGCTGGTTTTGTACGAAGCTATGGGAAAAATAAAAATAAAATCTTCATGAAAAATATGAACTTAAAAGAAAAATATATTTTCAGTAAAAAGAAATCAATTCCCTCCCCCCAAAAAAATGTTTGAATAAGGATTTTCTTTAAGAAAATGATGTACTTAAATTTATTTTGTTTTGTTTTTATTTTTATTCTATTACAAAAGGGCTAGGATCATTTTATATTGGCATAAGTTACATCTCAATTTTGAACGATAATCTTATTATATTTAACGATTCTGATTTATTAAATATTTGAGCCATTAAATTGAAGCAAATCAATAATCAATATTTGATGTAAGAATATTATGTCCCATTAAAAATTGTTCTCGACAACTTATTTAAATTTTTCACTCCGTTAAAGGTTTATTATAGTTGACTAAGAAAATACTTTTCAGACCTACTAGAAAATGTATAAACATGAAGATTAGAAAGAAATATTATAAATTCAAATGACAACGATAACAAGTGTTGCTGTGGTGTAGTGGTTATCACGTCAGTCTTACACACTGAAGGTCTCCAGTTCGATCCTGGGCAGCAACAAAGATTCTACTTTTTTATATACATTTACCTGTTCAATTCTAACTTCTACTCAGGTCAAGTTTGTCCTGATATTAAAAAATAAAAAGCCTTTTAGGCCTACCATATTGCAAATTAAATTTAAAAAAAATGAAATATCTCATTCATTAAACAATATTTCTAGCATGGGTCCAAATTATTAAAATTTTACAACAGATTTTCTAACAAGAACACAGATTATAAAAATTCATGACAATAAAGATTGAATTTTTCTTGGCATGTCACAATCTTCTAGTGAGTCTTCTTATCTTCCTCTTACTTAGAATAAATAAATATATAATTTTTTTATTTAAATATTAAAAAGGTCGGCCTACAGGCTAAAAGGCCATGCATTTTATTTGTAGCTTACGGCCTTGTTTATAAACAGGCTCATCTACAAGCCTTAACTTGTTCTACTAACCTCGTAGGCCAGGGCAGGCCAG